GATAAAATTCATATAAGCTTCAATCACATCAACATCGAATTATTTATAGTTTTAGTGTACAGTACTTCACACATATTACAGACAAATAGGCAAATATGTTACTATAAGGCACTAGTATAGCCACAAGAACTACTTCATCCCAAGAACACTACAGTATGGTATTATTATCCTTGTGATGTCTGCAAAACTTCATTCCTACATTGTGGTTGTTGTCGTATTTCGTCTTGCATAAAGCTAGGATTTTGTTATTTTACATTGTTGTTGTAATGCTGATGAAAGCAGAAGGCAGTAACGACACACATTGACTTTACGAACATTGGAAGACTGGCAATTTTTTGGCTCTCAACAGCTGGCAAAAGTAGTTGGTGAGTGTAACTTTGTAAAATTATTTGTCATGAAACTCAACTCCATACAGACATGAAAACTACGCGTTCATTTTACAACTGAATGAGAGTGATGGAGTCATTGCCCGCCCTCTTTGGCTGATCTTTTGTCAAATAAATGTACTTTTCTGTCTAAAAAAAATGCTTTCATCAACCTACATGTACAATCCATAATCCAATCAGAAAGAAATCTGACAACTGCCTCGCTAGCCACATGTTGCACAATTGAGGAGAGGCATGACACTGCAGACAATGTCCCATTTACAGAACCTGGGGGCTTCCAAATGCTTGTCTGACATATATCCAATTGAGTCAGACTCGTTCCCAACAGGACTTTGTAGTTCAAGAAAATGGAACTGTCCATTAAAAGGGCTGTCATACTTTGATGAACTCCTGCATAATACATGAGGCTCAATGGGAAATTGCTTTGAGGGGCTCTTTTTGTAGAATGCACTTAGGAACTTAATGGTAGAATGTGAAGGACATACATGTATTGGTCCATCTTGTGGGAGCCGCACAGTCAAGAACAAAATTGATGGCATTATGCAAAAACTGTGTCACGTACACCCTACTGCTTGGCAATTACGCGACGACCAATGCCATGCCCATAGCCGTAGGGGGGGTTCGGGGGGTTCGGAAGAACCCCCCCACAAGGCTCAAAGGTCCACTTTTTGGTCCACTTTTTATGTAAAGGTCCACTTTTTGGTCCACATTTTATGTAAAGGTCCACTTTTTGGTCCGCATTTTAATAATATTTTTATGTACAGGTCCAAGATTTTTCTTGAAAAGATGGACTGGAATCGTAGAAAAACTGCTCGCGCTCGCCTCGCGCCTACGGCGCTCGAGGTCCCCTCAAGCAGTGGGACGAACCCCCCCATTCAAAATCCTGGCTACGGGCATGAATGCTGTGGCAAGAATAGTACTAATCGAACTGTGTCACAATTCCGGTAAAAGTTCACACCCTTACAAATCAAATAAACTTTTAGGTTTGCATTTTGACTTTAAAAGATACTCATCTAGCTATGGGCTGTATAGTTATCAGTAATTATTTGAGAGGGAATTGCTCTTATGCATGTACATGTACTAGTATATGAGAATCATGTAGTCCTCCATGTATAGGAGACATACTTTGTACATATACAGGTAGGATGACAGTGTGAACATTACCAATGGAAATTAAATGAGACATGGAGTACAAAAGATCACACGTGCCCCCATAGCTGACAGACTACTTGTACGTAATGTACAACACACGAGCGGGGACGGGACACGGCATTGAGTGGCTGTTAATCCGCTTACCAGCCTCCCGACGCAGGCAATTTACTACCTGTCCATTCCAGACAATCAATATTCACCTCGGCAGGCCTGCATCCCCGCTCCACCTGCGTCAGAACTGCCATCGCAACATCATTTCTGTTTCAACGTGATTTACTTAGTGGGTTCAAGTTCTCTGAATAAAGCCATTCTCGCATTACGTTGACATTAGAATTGACAGCCAATCTTAACAGAAAGAGTATGTGGGAAGTCTATATGGCTCATCCATGCTTTTAGCTAGGGGGTGTCCAGGGTGTCTTTTGGACGCCCTGTACAGAAAATAATAAGAAATTGGACGCCCTACTTTTTGGTAGGACACCCTAAAGACGCCCTATTTTTTCCACTCCCAACCCCTGCCATGCACACATACCTCCCTTCAACCTTACTATAAATACAAAAATGATGGTTAACTGGAGGAAAAAAACTCAAATTTGCACCTCAAAATGCAGAAAGTAGTGTTTGAGAGCATTGTGAATTTCAAAAAAGCCCCCCTAAAAAGCTTGCGCACAATGCGTCTTCACTGAGGATAGCATACAATAAAAAAAATGGACACCCACCAAAAATATTCTACCTAAAAGCCTGGGCTCATCTGATATCCTACTACTGATCACCAAAAAGGAATTTCCTTTCAGTTGACTGAAAAGATGAGCCTAACTGATCCTGACAGAGTCATGTTTTCTGCATGAAACTGTAAACATATTGTCAGAGCTTCTTTCTGTATTCAACGAGGATCTTCTACACTATAACTAATACTAGATGTAGTAAATTGTCAGTTTTACCAAATGAAATGCAATTGTGAGCATTGCAATTTAGTAGTTTATCATTTACATCAAGACTTCACTCACTAAACTTTAGTACAAGTGGCAATTGTGCATGTGTAACTACTAACAATAATGCCAAGATTACCAAATGAAATGCAATTGTGAAGCATTGTATAGTATTATTTCAAATACATGTATTGCAGAAAAATTAATGTAGACACTAACTACATTGGCACAAAGAATTTAATGATGATTGCTAAATAACATTTATTAGATATGTCATTAAATGAAGTTAACAATCATGGAAAGTAAAAGTTTGTATTAATCACCATGAGTAAGATTTGTATGGAGATGATTGCAAAATTGATGATGCTCATGATGACCATAGCAAAGTGAATGCCAAGGACAATGAATGTTGTGAGAGATAACAAGTGT